AAAGTAATTTTATATAATTTTACTCATAAGTTGGAGTATCAAAAATATGGAGGTATCATTAATTGATAGAAAACTAAATCACTTAAAATTGATCAAAGACTGTAATATAATAGCTTAGGAGGTATCATTAATTGATAGAAAACTAAATCACTTAAAATTGATCAAAGACTGTAATATAATAGCTTAGCATTAATTGATTATATTTTATAAACATTATTCTATGATGTTAGTAATAATCACAAGGTAAAAAAATATTCTCTGATGTTAATAATACTAGTATTTAGACCCGTGCAAAGCACGGTTTCTAAAAGATTTTGAACAAATATTGAACATGTGCAAAGTGAATCGAAGACGGGTACAATTTGCTCCTTCAAATATTGAACATGATTTCCAAGTATTTAGTCCATCCCATATAGGCATCAGAAACAATTTGTTTCTTCAAATTTAAAAATAGATTATGTTTCTCAGAAAATAATATTTCAACTTACTCCTAAGCTATAAGAACCAAATGTAAAAATAACAGCATTGGCCTCCTCAACCATCTGATCAGTATACCCTCTATGTCGAGTCAGTTGCTTCACCCACATTTTAACAATCTGAAATATTGCAAAATGTTTTAGTACCAAGAAGAAACAGATAGATAACACAATATTTACATTCATCAGGAAACAACTGGAACAAAAGTAAGAAAACATAAATATGCACGGGTCTCAATATTTACAGAAAATCTGATATTCAATTAATCTATGAAAAATCTATGTTTGAACTACACAACTTTTTAAGGCATGCCAAAAAAAATTAGTAATCGAGAGTGTACCAGGATCATACACCACTAAAACTTGAATATCGGATTCAAAATGCATGTCAATACATGTAATTATATCATAGAAAATCTAATGCTTAGAGCAACAGAATCGCTTGAGTCAATGCAAAAATGAATTGTATTACAAATAAATTATACCTGCTTTGCAAAGATCTACCTGCTTTGCAAGAGCACAAGCACGATCAGGTGAGTTCAATGCAAAACAAAATTATACCTGCTTTGCAAGAGCACAAACCAAGTCTGATCAGTGAGTTGGAGACAACCCACAGCAATGTCCTATACATAAAAAAGCTCATTTTTTAAGCTGATAATAGAAGTACTGCTAATCTTATGGGATAAAAAATAAACATAAAGCAGTTATTCTACACCCACCATACTGTCTGGAGTGCATAACACCCAAAAAAATCATGATGCACAATGATAACTCCACAACGTGAAGCAGATATATAGCTAAAGTTCGAATTCTTTGTCATTTATAAACATACAACATAAACAGTAAATTGTCACGAAAATACAAGAGAAAAACTTGGTTTAAAGAAGAAAGACATATTAGATAAATGGTGACAATGCATATAGATATAGATATGCTCCTTGAGAACATCAAATGAAGATGACCAATCCTAAGGTGGATGTTGAAGGAAGAGTTATATATGATAAAAAATAACAAATAAGATACATGGGTCAATTATGGGATGATAGATGGTCGATGACAGTAAAAGTAGGAATATCTTCGATATGTAGTAAACTACTGACCTGAGCAGATTTGTAGGCCAAGAGTGTGTTCTTAGCAGCCTCTTTCCTCTCAGCACCAGTTTTGAACTCAGCAAGGTACATGAAAATCATGTAAATAATTAGCAAAATTAACGCAGATAAAGTTGATAAGAGGCATATTCTCATGACTTTTTCCATATTCATATTCTGGAAAGAAAAAAAACATGTACTGTGAAATGTGAGTCATAATACCATAATTCCGTAAACATTTATCACTATAATTACAAAGAAAAAGCATCATCCTAATTTTACCATAAAGAAAAAACATCATCCTAATTTTACCATAAATCCCAAAGCTTTAAAATTCACTTGAAATAAAATTAAAAAATTTTAAAAATTCAAAATATCTCACATTACATGCCAAAGCTTTGCTTCAGGATCCACTATTAACTTAACCATCATCACAAATATCCATTAGAAGCAAAATTAAAGGGCAAAAAAAAAAAGAAATTGTTAATTCTCAATTGTAAAATACCTTAATAAGATAAGGTCTTGGGCAACGTCTTCATGAACTTTCTATGAATAACTACACATTCAAGAACTAAAATTTGAAATTGAGTCTTTGTAACAATTGTAAGTAAGCTTGTATTTAGTGTGAGAAAAGACGCAAGCATGCATATTTCTATACATTGTTATCAAATAGATAAATATTTAAAATAAAAAGATAAATAGTTAAAATTCTATCAACCCAACAAATATTAGCACAAAATATACAAAAAAAAATACTTAAAATTACTTTATTGATTTGGGAACCTTCATTTGTGTTGTATTTGTCAGGCGACTCCGATTTTGGCCCTTGACGATCTAATTAACATCCAAACAAATATACCCAATTAGAGAAAATAATAAAAAAATAATAGAAACTTCTACTTAAACTTAAAAGACAAAAATTAGTTGCTTAGATCTCAACTAAACAGCAGAAAACCAAACATGGCAAAATTTTTAGAGAGGGAGAGAGAGAGAGAATGTTACCGATTGAAGAGGAGGCGGCGGCGCTGGACTCGGTTGAGGATGGAGGAGATTTGATAGTGAGGAAATAGAAAAAGAAGGTTTCCGCCATGGATCATCGAATATTTGACGATTTAGGGCAGAAACCCCTCTGCTTGAGATAGGCTCCTCTTCCGTCATGGATCGTCGAATTATTTGACGATTTAGGGCAGAAACCCCTCTGCTTGAGATAGGCTCCTCTTCCGTCATGGATCGTCGAATATTTAACAATTTAGGGCAGAAAACTCTGGATCTCCGCGAGAATTGAGAAGATAGGGGCATTGAAAAGTTAGATTTTTTTATTGGGAAGAATTTGAAAGAAGAAAGGGGAGAGGAGAGGCTGGCTTTGGGTTTCGGTTTTAGGGGAAGGCGAGAGAAGACGTGGGAGTTTTTTTAGGAGAACGTGAGAGTTTTTTTGGCAGTTTTTATTAGAGAATGTGGGAACTTTTTTATTTTGTTGGTTGGTTATTCATTTTATTTTTTTCTTAGATCAGAACCTTAGGTTACTGTTCATTTTACTTTTTTTATTATTCTCCTTTAGTAATAAAGAAGTAGATTCTCGTATTCGACCTTGTGCTTCTCTGATTCTTCGAGAGGGACGTAGTATTTAACAAGCCGAGTCTTTCGTTGCCTATTTTGGAGCAAAATAAATCGAATCTGCAACAAAAAATTTAAAATAATAAGAAATTAAAACCCAATGGAAATTGCACCTCCGATCTTCAAAATGAGATCCTCTTCTTCTTTACCCTCCTGCGCCGTCGTGGAAAGGCGACCAAGGTTGAGGGTTTTCCTGGTAGAGGAGAGGGGGAGAGAGGGAGATCAAGGAAAGTTGAGGAGAGAGGAAAATAAAGATAAAGCAGAGAGAGATGTAGAAAGGAAAAGGAGAGGTAGTTTTATTTTTCTCCCCCCTTTCAAGTTGAGCCCTGTTCGTTTTTGAATTTTAAAAACAATTCAATGTTAATGAAAATTTTTACCCATATCCAAATTTAGATTTAAAAAGGACTCACCAGAGTTGGGCATTTAAGATTTTGTTGATGAAGGAGTTCATGATGCCCATGACCTTGCTCGAGACGCTGACATTGGGGTGGACATGCTTCAGGACCTTGAAGATGTAGATCTTGTACGTCTCCACGCTCCTCTTCACCCTCTTCTTCTTCTTCATCATCGTCTTGCTCTTGTCTACTCCTCCCGCTTCTTTTGATGGGATCCGCTTCACCGCCTTTGGCTTCTTGCCGACGCGAGATTTCTCCGCCTTGGGCTCCTCTTCGGCATCAGCGGCGGCGGCGACCTTTTTATCCGCGGGCTTCTTCTCGGCCTTGGGCGCCATTTTGAGAGGGTTTTTAAAATTTGGGGATTTTTTTCTTAGCCGGTGAAGGACGGAGAGAAGAGAGATGGGAGATCAAGGATAGGGGAGGAGAGAGTAAAATAAAGATCTCTCTGAGTATTTTTTTCCCCTTTCAAGTTGAGAATAGGTGTTTGTTTTTGAATTTTGAAAATCAACCTTGAAACTAGTTAAACAATACTTGAATTTTATTTTATTTTTTTAAAAAAATTAAATAAAAGTGATTATAATATAGGGGTGAGAGGAGAGAGAATTATGTAGCATGAACAGTAATTATCTGATTCTCTCATTTGTATAAAAGAATAGATTAAAATTTCAAACTAATATTTTGATATCTCTAATAGGTTTCTTTTTCACCCACCTTGTTTATCACCTTAATCTTGATATAATATGAATATATCTTCTCAACTCACTCAACATCAAATCCAAATTCTATACAAAATTTTTTTTCCACTCTTAATAACATCTTATTCATATTTCCTCAATCCAATATCATGTTCTCAAAATTAAATTCCAAGCACACGAGGGACAACTGGAGTAAGGGGTCGATGTTTTTGGGGCCATAGGGATTCCCTAAAATAAGATTGGTCAAGATTAGGATTGAAATAAGATCGGTCAAATTTAGGACTTGAGAATCAAGGTATTGAGAGTCAAAGGACATATTTCTGTAGAAGGAAAGCACCCTATTCTTACAAAAGTTGATGATAATTTGGGGTATTACACCCACCTTGACCCCGCCTTTTCCCCTCAGCCCTCTGTTCCTCCGTCTTCATGTTCTCTTAACCTACTGCCTTTGCTTCTTCTAAACCCTAGATCTTCAGTCACCCAACAACCAAACTCGACCCCCCACCTTCGAAACCCTCAATCCCACCTACCCAGCCTCCAGATCTGCCCCCTCTCACACCCCAGCCTCCCCTTAGATTCCGCCCCCAGCCATTCCGATCCAGTAAGCGCCATCGGTTAAGAGAACATGTCCTCCAGGCACCCGTCCGATCTTGCCATATCCAGTTCTCCGCCCAATGTCTCCAGGCAGCCTCCCTCCCGCTGCCTTCCATTCCACTCTTCGCCTACCTCTCCTATTAGACCCCAACCCCGTTCTCCCCAGTAGTCGCAGCCCCAAGCGCCGCCCCCAGCTGCCCGCCCTCCCCCGTTGTCCTCCGATCGGAGCTCTGGTTATGATCTTTCATGGAGGTCACCAATCCCTCGAATCAAGTCACAAGGAGAATCACAGCCAAACATGCTGCAGGTGTTCGACGCGAGGCCTTAAGGAGAATCGCCGAAAAGAATCTCAACGCCCTACCTCTTGATGGGTTCGATTATGCCTCCATTCCCGGTAGGAGTCTCAACGCCTGTCAGACTTTTGATGGTGTTGGATGATACGGCTTATGTTAACGTGAGTAATACACATACTCCATTGTTGCTTTTTATCAATGGATGCCAGGGGGAGCTGCCAAGAGAATTAGAATGGCTGAAATAAGTGATATCCACTAGAGATAAGGAAGACGTATACAATGGATAAATTCTTATCCTATGAAAAAATGTGGAACAAATGAGAGTTCTCAAATTTCATAAGCAAATATATGAGATTAGCTGATATTTGGAGAAGGTTCACATATGAAAGAAACGAACATGGAATAGAAAAAACAAGAATTATAGTTCTTCTATGTAAGGAAACAAGCTCAAACATGATATACTATTAGTCTGTCAGGTTTTGGATGGGAGGACTTACTACGTGCTGATTGGGTTCGTCGCATTGCTTGTTGGCATTGCGGGCCCATTGGTTTTGGATGGGAGGACTTACTACGTGCTGATGGCCACGACCGAAGGGTGTTTGGTTACGAGCACGAACAGAGGGTGCAAGGTCATCGGGGAGTCAGGTGGGGCCCAGAGTGTTGTGCTGAGGGATGGGATGACTAGGGCCCTGGCAGTGAGGTTTGTGCTTTGTGTGCAAGGCCATCGGGGCGTCACGTGTCATGTTTCATTGTTCAATTGATTATACTATGTGTTCTTGTGGTTTGGTTGTACTTAGATGAAAATTTAATAAAATGTATTGTGTCTATTTAGTGATTAATTTTGGTGTAATTTATTGCGATTGTATGTGAAATGTATTATGGCTGTCATGTGAATATGTACTTGCGATTGTATGTGAAATGTATTATGGCTGTCATGTGAATATGTACAAGTTCATTCAAATAGAACTTGATGTGCATAATAAACTGAAGATTATGTGAATATGTACAAGTTCATTCAAATAGAACTTGATGTGCATAATAAACTGAAGATTATATATAAATTATATGTATCAAAACCCGAACCTGTATCTTATGTTAATTTTAACTGTTACATGTTAACTTTCATCCTAATATGTTAACTTTAACTGTTACATGTTAACTTTCATCATTATATGTCAACTCTCTTCGTAACATGTTAACTTTCAGCTAAATATGTTAACTTTCATCATAATATGTTAACTTTCACTATTACATGTTAACTTTCTTCATAACAAGTTTTTTGAACTAAAATTTGATGTGTTTGAAAAACTGAAAGTCCCTCAAGATGATTTATATGGAGAGTTCTTATGCAAGCTATTGTTAATATCGAGAGTTCTATTTTTAAAAAATTCAGAAAGTTCTAACTGAAATGTTAACATGTAAAAAATGAGAAAGTTCTAAGATTGTAAGTCTAATTATTTCGCGTATTCAAGCAATATCAGCCGTAAGAATGTAAGAATTTTATTATGGTGAACGTTAACATGTTCAGTTGAAAGTTAACATGTTATGAAGAAAGTTATCATATTATGGTGAAAGTTAACATGTAATAGTGAAGGTTAACATATTATGATGAAAGTTAATATGTTCAGCTAACAGTTAACATGTTATAAAAAAAATAAACATATTATTATAAAAGTTAACATGTAATAGTGAAAGTTAACATATTATAATGAACGTTAACATGTTCAGCTGGAAAATTAACATGTTATGAGGAGAGTTAACATATAATGATAAAAATTAACATGTAATAGTTAAAGTTAACATAGAAAACAGGTCATGTTCTTGCTAATCATGTTCATGTTGAAACATAATAACCTGAAGGATATGTACAAATTATGTACAAGTGTATGAGATTTAATAGTGTATCATAACATGAAGATTATGTACATAATATGCATATATTATGTACACAATAGCCTTAATATTAAGTACATATTATGTACCATAATATTGAGGTTTTGATACACATAATTTATATATAATCTTCAGTTTATTGTGCACATCAAGTTCTATTTGAATGAACTTGTACATATTCACATGACAATCAAAATACATTGCACATACAATCACAAATAAATTACACCAAAATTGATCACTAAATAGACACAATACATTCCATTAAATTTTGATCCAAGTACAACCAAACCACAAGAAAACATAGTATAATCAGTTGAACAATGAAACACGACACGTTACAAGCAATTTTGGATTGCACTCCATTTGCTACAATATCCACATACTTCGTGCTTGATGCTTGAATAGTCTTTTGCACTCCATTTGCTCCAGATGCGTTAGTTCTGATTGCAACAATCTTTACACATGTTACCCAACCAATGACCAACATTATGTCATCCTATGTGCGTACATCCTTGTTAGCATCTATTGCAGAAATTAAGCAATCTAATTAGAGAACAAGAATATACAACATCTTTAAGACCCTCTCAAGTAAATTATATCATTCCAGTCATAAAATTTATCATTAGGCTGGTCCATTTTAGTATAATAGAACAACTAAAAGAAAAGGAAGTACTTTTCCTCAAGGTTGGTTGAAGACAAAGACAACATTATATTATTATAGAGTAATTTACTCATAAAGTACTTTTCCTCAAGGTTGGTTGAAGACAAAGACAACATTATATTATTATAGAGTAATTTACTCATAAAGCATTCAATTATGTTGTATAGTATACAAGACTGATTTCATAGATATACAATACCAACATGGATTTGCAGTAAGCTTTTGTAACTATTATTCACTCAAAAGTCATATCAACCTTGATAAAGTTCAAGAAATTACAAAATCCCTACAGAAATTCAATAACATACCGCTTGCTAACTTGACGGAAAATATCAACCAGTTAGTTATTCTTTAAATTAGCAAATCATGTCCACCAATGAGCCCAACTTCCTTTTCTTCTCTTCAAATAATAGTGCACTTAAGCATCACTGCGTGAATCAGACCATGTCTCCCTATGCTTCCCCTCACTACAGAACCAAGCACAAGGGTGCTCAGTGTACAATACTAACTGAACATTGTTATGAATTGGAGGGAAACCTAGAACTAGAAATATTAAACTGCTATTTCTCTAACGGTGATGAGAAAATAGGAAATAAATATATTACTTTTTTCTCTAGTCAAGATAACACATATAAACGGATCCATTTGTTGTAGCAAAAAGTGGGCTTCCCGTGATACTTAGTTAATTCAGTTGCATCAGCTGCTTAATGCAACTGAATTAAGCAGAAGTTCAGGACGTGGACTTCCCTGAGGCCTCTCAATGAATGCCATACGTGCATTATTCGCCATGTCATAAACTTTTACCCCTGCATCATTAGCCCAAGCAATAAGACCGGTCCTCCATTTGACCGCATGTGTTGGACCTTCTCCATCATGTAATACCTGAGACAACAACATATTTATGGTTGAATTTTAGAGCAGCAAATATTAAAATTTTTCCTTGTGTCAAGTCCACCAGATACCTGTTTAGAATAACCAATGCCAGGTTTTCGAATTCAAAAAAAGTTGACCAGCTAAACCACCAGCAACATATCTTCTTGATGATTTCCGTGAATAATCTGGGTCTAGAGCTAAAGTTTTCATTGGACGATAGTACTCAAATTTCAACTTTTCATCAGTAAAAAGGCTGCTAATTAATAACCACACACCGTAAATCAATCAACTAGTAAATATAACAAACTCAAGAAGATAACCTTACTGAAGAAAAGCTAAAAAGGAAACTCATTTGGGCATTTCATCAAACACCTACAACCCCCATCTCCTCCTCCCCCTCCTCAACCTCCCCCCACTTCCCATGGACATCCCACTCCTCATAATCCCTCTCGACCATCTTTGCCCCCTCCTCGTCCCCCAACCTCCGCAACCCCCTAACCAAAAACCCAAACAAGTACTCGTTCGGCATGCACCCACCTCAAATCAATCGACTAGTAAATATAACAAACTCAAACAGATAACCCCACTGAAGAAAACCTAAAAAACTCTCTTCATCAACCCATAAACCTCATTCGCCTCCCTTCCCATCCCCGCCCCCACCATCGCCTTCAGTAACCTCGCGAGCCCCCTCAAATCCTCCCCCTTCACCCCTCCCATTCCCCTCAACTCCCCCAAAACCCCCATCAAGAACCTGCCAATCTCGCCATCAAGGTCGCCGTTACTGTTGGTTCTTGACAGAGAGTTGAGGATGTCGGCGTAGAGGGAGAAGAGAGAAGAGAGAAGAGAGCGAGAGAGAAGGTAGTTTTGGGTTTTCGAAAATTGTTTCTCTCTATGCTACCTTGAAAATTTAAATAGGGGCTGAAAATAATGGCTTCATGTATTTGGAACTTTGGCACACAAAAAATAATACAGGGAGCTGGCCCAACTGGGTCACATCCCCTTTATTTTTTGGGGCCTTGACACATTTTTCCCTTGATTATATGTTGCTTCCTTAGGAAAAATATACGGTACCTTTTTTTTCCAAGGAATAGAGTCACAATTATATTTCATTGTTTGTTGGCAAGGAAGTAATAGTTGAGAGGAGGAGGAGGAGGGAGAGGGGGGAGGGGGTTAGGAGCAGGATAAGTTTTTTATAATGGAGTTTTATGCAAAAAAATCCCATCAATACTGGCCGGAATAGTAACTCCGGCCAAACTTAATGCCAATATGGCACCGGAGTTGAAAATTTATACCAATTTGACAACTTAAAAAAAATATACCAACTTGTCACCAAGCCTTAAGAAATTATACCAATCTGGCCATTTTGCCAGGTATATAGCGTCTATAATGCTTATAAAGTGCATTCAAAATATTGGGAGTTCTATTACAAATTCGAGTGGTTAGTATTTGCTACTTCCTGAGGTGATTACATTTAATCATTGAATATTTCTAAGTTGCAGGATTTTTGGCATATTTGGTTGGGGATTGATCTTCAACCAAGGTACAACTATCTTTGAGCGAACTACCCCTAATAACTTTGCCTTCGGAGCCGGCAACGAAGCTCCCATGGACAGCAGCAGTGCTTAAAGATTAAAAGGAGTTATTGGTGCGTTACATCCTCATACTAACCAAAAATACAAAAATGTGAAACGGAAATGCTTAGCTTGTGCATGTATTCTTGGAGAAAAAGAAGTGTTTTAGGGCTCTGGCCTTTGTTATTACTGTAACTTATGATGCGATTTCTTGTGTATACTACGTTTTGTTCTTCTGCCCTTTTTTGTTATTTATTTATGTGGTTCTATCTGTCCTCTTTCTTTTGTATTATCTTGTTAATTTAGAAGTCATGTACTTGATAACAATAAATTCTGCGTGCATATTTTGCAGAAGGAAAATGCCGAATGATAAGAGTAAACAGAGTTTTGTAGTCTTGCAAATACATGCTGGAAAATCTGTTCCAATTGTAAAAGGTGGTGAGCAGACAAAGATGGAGGAGGGTGAATTTTTTGCAATTGAGACTTTTGGTTCAACAAGTATATTGACTGCTCAACCGTGTAATGTAATGTTTGTGTATATATATTATATAAGAAGGGGAATTTTTCTCATATAACTGTTCATGTAGTTTATAATAATTACATAGCTAAGTTAATATGTCGAAGACAATGCATCCAAGAGAATCATGTGACTTCAAACTCATTAATGCTATTACATCTTTCATTTTGTAGGCAAATGATATGTTAGAGAAGACCTTGAGTGAAGCCATTACATGAAGAACTTTGATGCTGACCATGTACCATTAAGGTTGCCTCGAGCTAAGCAACTACTTGGAACAATTAACAAACACTTTTCGACTTTGGCCTGTTGCCGGCGTTACCTAGACCGCGTTGGAGAGACAAAGTACCTAATGGCGCTGAAGAACTTGTGCGATGCTGGCATTGTTCAGGTATGTATTGCTGCTTTTGTTTTCAATTATTCAGCAAAGAGTATATATTTATTCCAACTATAGGAATTGTACCACATCATTGTCAAGAAGAGGAGAGAAATCCCAACTTGATAAGAATACACATTAATCTCTAATTATAATATAATATAACCACTACATTTAATACTTATAATAATACTATAATAATATAAACTAAATATTATAACATTTTATTTACAATATATTTTATTATAATTAATATATAATATATTAATATGTTTAATACTAATGTTATAATGAGTCAAACTAGTGCTGACCAAAAATATTTAACATGGTGTTTTGAAGGCATTTTAATATTTTATTATAATTAATATATAATATATTAATATGTTTAATACTAATGTTATAATGAGTCAAACTAGTGCTGACCAAAAATATTTAACATGGTGTTTTGAAGGCATTTTAAGGGAAAAATACAACACCATGGTGTTTTTTTACAAAAACATGATAAGAAAAACATCATGGTATCCAAACGAAGCTAATCATAGACAATGAAGTCCAATTTCTTCCTTTACAAACAAAAGAAATAAAAAGTCACATGGATGCTCAAACTTAGAAGGCTGTTTAAGTATCAGTTCATGGTTAATAAATCATAAATAAACAAATAGGAAGCTGCTCGCTTCCAAGTTCATTAAACCCCTCTAATTAAATTAAGTTCAGGTTGTAAGAAAACTAAACAATAATATGTAGGCAAATGATATGTCAAAGGAAAAACAAGCAATCGACAAATTTCCTACTTACGATCGGAGGAGGAAGCGGCTCGGGCCCCATCTCCATTCTCAGGAACCCTAGAATTTGTCAAAATTGGGGAAATTTTCGAGCGAGATTTGGGGAATTTAGACAAAAGGGGGAGTTTTTGAGGGCCTAGGGTTTTGAAGCGAGGATAAAAATTGGGGAATTGGGCGGTATTTGAAAGGAGTGAGGCGCCATCGAATCGATTTCGATTTGGGATTCGGTTTTCGTTCTCGCGCTTTTTTTCCTCCCAGCGGGCTGGTTGAATTAAACGCCCGTCCGGGATTCGATCAACGGTTGAGATTGGGCTCTAGTATGAGTGAGGGTGTTAGATCAACCGTTGGTTTTGATTTGGTATGTGATGCGGATTAGGATTGAGCTTCGGACTCGACTTGGGTGGGATTTCTAACTTGGACGCTTCCGTTCGCCTCCTAAAGTTACTAGGGAATTGGGCCATTGGCATGTGGGATGCGGGTACAAATTTATTTAATTATATGATTAATTTTACATTTTCATGTAATAATGGTTTAATGCTAATTTAATTTATGCAAGTTTATTATGGAGCTCTGCATAGAAAATGTATCTTAAACTGCTATTTAACAAATAAATTCATCCTTCAACCCAATTTTGTTGAGTAGTTTTCAAATTGAAGATAATTTAATTAAAGTAAGTGATTAAAATAAAAAAGGAAAATAAAGATATATATATATTACAATTTAATTTAATGTGTGTTGTCATTTCATGATTTAGAATGTTCTAGAATTAGAAAGGATAGAAGACAAGAAATAAAGTAAATGTTTCTATTAGAAAAGAACAAAATTAATGATATGAATTCCTATTCTCATGTCATAGTTTATAATCTTTTAGAAATAATATACGAAAAGAAAGAAAAGAGGGGAAAATTTTCCCTTATAAACTTATTGTTTTACCCTCCAAGTTACAATATGAATGAGAAAAATGTCCACCGCTCATACAATTTTCGCTACCATCATGTTTTACCCTCCAAGTTACAATATGAATGAGAAAAATGTCCACCGCTCATACAATTTTCGCTACCATCACTATGTTCATTATATGGTAGTATAGATATTAGAAAAATGTCCACCGCTCATACAATTTTCGCTACCATCACTATGTTCATTATATGGTAGTATAGATATTGACATTTACTAGCGACATCAGTCAAAATATAAAACCTGGATTCTGAAATTGAAGAATCTTAACTTTAAATATGATCTACTTCTTTTAAAAAATGTTATACTTTTTGTTACCCACGTGATGAATGTAAATCATTTGAAATATTATTTTAAGGTAGTTCATGCATATGAGGTCGCATATAACAGTTATAATTAATAAAATAATAATATATTTTAAAATTCAAAATTTTTATATTTGGATTAATATTATCCATTGTTTTGAATACTATGAATAATATCCTAGCTTAGCTCAGATACTTTCTCCACTCTAACTGATTTATTGCTTACATTTATTTGATAGATGATGGAAGTAAGTAGCTTTTAAAAATGAATTTTATGGTAATATTTTTGGATTATAGAGCGTAGAATCATCTTTTAACTTAGTTAATGATAGAATTTTGAACTTTACCAGTTTTAAAAATAAAGGTGATAATAAAACAACCTTCTGAATATAATGGAACTCTAATTGGATCCCTTCATATTCGGTTTCCTTTTTATATTAAACAATAAATAATATAGATGAGTCTATCTAATATTTGTTTCTTAACTTTCTTTTGATTCTTTTTTCCTCCTTAGGTATTATCCGTATTTTTTTTCTTTCAAATTCTACTGTTTTAGTAAAATATGAAAATAAATTATTTTGTAGTGTGCTCACTGTTTCGTATAATTGCATGAGATTTTGAAAATGTGATATAACTTGTCGTTGCTGGACTGCTAGTGAATCTAGGGGTTAGCTTGTTTCCATGGACTCACAACCACAAGAACTCCACTGAAAAGGAGTGGATACTATAATAGTTACTTAGCTTGTTTCCATGGACTCACAACCACAAGAACTCCACTGAAAAGGAGTGGATACTATAATAGTTACTTTGCCAAAATGGGTATGCAAACCGTCAGTACGGTCGGTATTGATTTTTTTTCCCAAATCGAACCGAACATAATTAGATACAAAATCGAACAAAACCGAATCAAGTCGATTCAGTGCAGTCCGATTTAGTTTGTTCGGTTTTGTCATAGATATGTCAAGACAAAGATTTTTTAGCTAAAATACAATGCTCTTACCATTTCAAATCTCTCGGCTATCTCATATCCCAAGTTGAAGAGCAATCTCGTCAAATCAACTACTCTACTGTAAAACCCCGTAAAAATTTTTGATTAGTGAGTTTTTAAATATGAAAAATATCTTTTATGGATGCATGATTATGTTCACAATTGATTTGAGATCAATTAAGAGTATATATGCATTATACACTGATGCAATTCGAATCTGAAAAAATGACCAGTTAAGAGTATATATGCATTACACACCGATGCAGTTCGAATCTGAAAAAACTCAAAAGACAAAAGTTGTAGGTATCTTCCATAACTTTCCAACACATCTTAGATCACCTCATTCCAAGGTTGGACGAAAAGTTACAACAAAAATACTGAAGTCAATTTTCCTAGTCTGACTGGGTTTCCTGTTTAGGTTTTGGGCTGTTTTGTTTCGGGTTTGGAGCTATATAAATATGTGTTTATACATGAAAAACATATCTTTTCATCGGTATTTCAAACCCTAGCAACCCCTCTCCTCCTCTCTCAACCCCTAGCCCTAGATTTGTGGTTTCAGGGAAGTCTTGTGAGGCGAGAAGCGAAGAGAAGACGAGATTTGCGGCTTTTGGCGACGGGGGATCGCTTCCTGATTTTTTTCAGAGGGTTGTACACGTGATAAGGCAAGATCACCTCTATCCAAACTTTTCCCTTAGTTTAAAAATAAAGTTTTTACGTGATATTAGCAATTAATCTCATGCTTAGGGTTAATTTAATGCGTTAGAACCTAATTTGTGATGTAGTATCTTAAACCCATGCGTAGAACATTAGAGTAAGTCAGAAATTTTCGTGTTTAGATGATCATGGTCATTAGAGTTAATCTTAATATGTTAATTACAGTTTAATTTTGGTTTATATGCACTAATTTGTCGAAATAAACATGAATTTAGTTAATTTGCATGTTAAACCTTAAATCCATGAGTTCATATTGGTTTCATCTTGTTTAAACAAACCCTTGGTTAAGTAGTCATGAGTATTGAATCAAGTTTTATTCATATAAGTTAATAAAAACCCGAGCTTTGAAGAAAATCAAGTAAAAACCTGAATTTGTAAATTTTGGTCTGTTTAGTTGTTATGGGGTCTATCTATTCCACGAACATGCAATTTGATGAATCAGCATCTCGACTAGTCAGACGAGCAGAAGCCCCAATGTCGACACGAGAAGCGGTGTTAACTAATACGGGAAGTACTGACTTCCCAAGTGAGTCGACATCTCAGCCGATGGAAGAGATAGTTAGAAATCAGCTAGCGGTCCAACTCAATCAATCAGATGAGTCGACGCTCCTCTATGCCGACCCGAAAGGCGGGACGAGTCTTCATTCCCTTTAGACAAGACGGTTCTCTTCGCGAATCCCATCATAAGGAACATTGCTTCTCAACGAAGCTAGAAGATAATTTCGCCAAAGCCTATCCATCCTGACGACAAGTCACATCATGTCTACTCATAGACCATGCATCATTACGCCGCCTATCAGCCCACAATCGCTCCTCAGATCGAGGCAGAAGGGATCTTCTTCCAGTCGCCAGCCGACACCTGTCGAGCAAGAAATGTCTTAACTTCCAGCTCACCCTTCGCCGCCCTCTAACTATGTATTCTTGAAGTGACTAATTTTCCCTTGACGACCTCTATAAATACAAGTACTATTCAAGCTAGAAACAGGTGGGCAATCTAAAAACTCCTAGAGGATACACTGCACAATGATAATAATACATGGTTCTTCTTTAGTTCCACTCAAGTTCATCAATTGACTTGATCGTCGGAGGTACCACGGGGGACTTTAGCCCCGTCCTCTTACGACTCTTTCTATGCAGATTGCCCAGTCATCCTAATAGTAGAGCCAGGCATAAAGTCGAAGAAGGAAGCGCGCCCCCCTCCTTTTTCTACAAAATCCGTGATTTTAATTGGCTGTGTGATATTCAACATCAACATTAGTCGACTGATGTTGCCATCAGTCAACTGACGGGAGGTCATCAGTTGATTGATGGGCAACATCAGTCAACTGACGGGCTCGGCTGTGTGTGATTTGTGTGACCTCAGCTTATCAGTCGAGCGAAGCTTTCGTCGGTCGACTGAAGAAGCTCAATATTGTGAGTTTGAACCTTTTACATGTGGGGTCGATGTGTGAGCACGTAGTACAAGTCATGTGATATTCTATACACGTATTTTGAGGAGTACACGTACGGAGATTGAGTACGCACAAATCCATTGTTCGGAATAGCCAAATAGTTTGCAATCGTTATGAGTAACGACTATTATAGTTAGCTTTTATTGAGGATGCTGAGTGGGGTTAGTTGGGGCATGCAATGAGACCGTAGATGGACTACACTCTGAGTGCGTTAGTCAGAACCGTAATGAGATCGTGATGGACTTCACTCCTTTATGTATTTTTGGTCCGTACGAGCGTGCGCATATGTCGTTGAATCTATGATTTTGGTCCGCATGGTTTTGCGTAGAGGTTGATAAACCTATTTATCGGTCCGCATGGGGTGCAGTGAGTTGATATACTATTTATCGATCCGCATAGGGGTGCGACCAGAGGTTGATATACCTATTTTATCATGTTCATTTCATTATTACTTTCATTTGCCTATTTTGTACCTACATTTATTGTTTGATTCTACTAGAGAGATATTGTTATGATGGTGAAACATGTTATTGCACAGTGTAGGTGCATGGTAAGTTTGACATCATTGGTTTTATCTTAGACTGCAGCCTTGTGTGAACCCGTGGGTGTTTGGTGGAAAAATTCATAGTAAAAGAAATGAAAGAAATATATTTGTATTCTCTCGATCTCAATTACAATTGGATTTCCTGATTACAAAATAGAAGAGATGATCTAGATTCTCCCCTTTGTTTAATTCTGGGTTTTTCACAGTGGCGATAGAGTGCCTCTCTCAAATGCTCGCGTCGAGTTTGCTCTCCGTTGACGATCCGAACGTCTTATTTCACTGGAACATGGTCTTCTCCTCACGATTTGACATTGTGGAGAACTTACAAAGCAAGTTTTAGAACTCTGAACGAGTTATAGAACTCTGAGCGAGTTTAAACTCTTGTAGAAGAGTTGATTTGAACCGAAAGTCGGTT